TAAAAAATTTTTTTAAATCACTGTATGGGCCAACACTGTGCAGGTTCACAGGTCAGCTGGTTTTTAAGCTGCACCGTGGGGCCTCAGACCTATGTAAGTTTCTAATGATGGAGCTTAGCAGAATGACAGAGTGCACACCATTACCTCTACAAAGGGGAAAAGAGAGTAAGTACAAAACACCCGTGAGCCTACCCTATGATTTTCATGGTAAATGAAAAAAAAAAAAAAAAAAAAGAAAGAAAAGAAATAGGAGTCAAGCCAATGGAGTCAGAAACCCTGTGTGTGGTAACGGAAATTTATTTATTTATTTATTTTAATGGTAATACTGGAGATTGAACCCAGGACCTCACGCATGCACTCTACCACTGAGCTACACCCTCTCTCCTGGTAATGGAAAGTTAAAAGTCAGTACTTCAAACATGCTGGGAATTTTTTCTGAGGAGAACTGACAATGATAAATGAAAGGAAAAAAAATAAAAGTGAAAGGGTCTGCATTTCACAAGCATTCTTAATAGGACCTTTTTTCTACAAAGAACTTCCTTTTACAAAAAAAAGTAATTTCGTGCATAATTATAGAGAATATTAAAATAAATAAATAAAGCTTCTTAGCATTTTCAGAGCCCACCAATTAAAGCTATGAAAAGCTAAATTAAAACGACATTTACTAAACATCTGTGTTGTTACAGAACAACTGGATAAAACTGAGCTCCAACCTGTGTCAGAAACTCAAATGCAGGGTAGTTAGAAAAGGAGTGCATGTTAAAATGCTAATTCCATTTTATATCAGCTATACATTTGAACTTGGAATCCACCTCACAGTAATCAGGACATCATGAATGGGAACACAATATGAAGTTTAGTGCACTGAATTCCACTTTGGAATCCTAAAACTTCATTCAAGCTCAATGTGGACACAGACTGTTTGCTTTGCTCTCCACTGGGTGTACAGGGCCTTCATAGTGCCTGGAACATAGTAGGTATTCAATACTATTTGTCTGCAGAATAAACAACAGTGGTAAAATAATCACTCCTTGACCTGAGTTTCCTAAGAGCAAAAGGGGGAGATCAGTAACTTCCTACTTAACGGACAAATATTTTTTTTAAATATAGGATAATGATTAAAATACCCTAAACTGGCTGCAACTTTTCTTCACATCATTCAAATAAGCATACTCACTGCAGTTTCCCCGGTGTGTGTTCCTTTTGGACAGGGGTAGAAACCTGTGGTTCTGGTGAGGGGCGAGGCACTGATGGTTCTGAAGCTGGTGACGGAGGACCTATGTCTTTGGGAATTTCAACATGTTTCCAATCTTCTCCTTCTTCAACTAGCAAACCAATTAGTGAACCTAGCCGTATATTTTTAGATCCTTCTTCAACCTATTAAAAAGAAAATAATCGCAGGGATAGAAAGGCTCATGATTTCATGAAGTAGTTTATACCCTGGCTAATTCTGTACTGATTAGAAATATCTCTTAATGTGAGCTAAAATCTACCAGGCCAGCCTGCTTCCTCCTTCCATATTCCTCATCTACCTTCCCCAACTTACCCCTTCCTTCACAACTCTCCCCCTCCCTGTTACTAATGCTACCCTCTGAAATTAAAAAAAAAAAAAATCTAGAATCTCTCCTTTTCTGACAGGCTTCAAATATGTAAGAGCTACCATTACCATCTTCCTTTGGATGTCAATCAATACAGATCCAACAAAGGAGACTGCAGTTACATATCTTAATTTTCTGTCTTCCCCAGACAGCTGCCACACAATGACTTAGAAATTCCAAGACCTCATAAGGGATTAACTCCTCCAAATTAGTCATATTTACTAAAATTAATTTAAAGGAAAATCTTTTCAGTACATTTAGTCTTTGGAAAAAAAGAGTATTCCATTGTATGGATAGAACTGGATAACTATTCTGGTTAATAATGTTAAGTGTACTTTCCATGTTTCTCTATACTTAATTTTTCCCTTATGTATATCTGTAAAACCTTGAGCAATAAAATAAAACCTCATGAATTTTCTGTAAGTACATCAGAAACATGATGGTGTCTCAGCTAACTACTTTTTCACAGATAATGCCAATTAAAAGCATAAATAAAATTGAAGATGATTTTTTTAAACTCAAGATGTATTTTAAGCATTTCAGCAGAATTAATTTATAAAGAAAGGTCTGACTCTTATTTACTTATTAAAAGAAGTCCCTAGGGAAGTTTCAGGTGACAATATACGTTTAGTACTGGAAGAAAATGTCATTCCTTTAAAATTTTCTATTATTTCCTTTCAATTAGTTTAAATATGGTTCATTACAGATATAATTTAATGAATAACAGAATGAGACTGCAGACTCTAATACAGTAATTATAAGTAAACAAGTGTAACTCCTAAAATGGGCTTGACATTGCTGAGTAACACTAATTTTGATGCTTAGTACGTGCACTATTCTTTAAATAATAAAGCATAAGTTCTGAGAGTTAGGAAACTTTCTAGGTTTACTGATGGAGAACAGGAACAATGCTCCGAGAAAGCAAAATACATGTAAGAAATGAGTATATAAAACCAAATAAGGATGTTTAATGAATTGCAAGCTGTGGAAAAATGCTAAACAACCCAAAACCAATTTGTTTAGTGTGTGTCACATCCTAAAAAGGTTTTACTTCTGTGGACTTGTCATTTTTCTTTACTATGTCAAAAAGGTGAGTCAAGATTATTAATAGGCTAACAGTTTTTCTTCTTATAAAAACATCTAATTACCTGCTAACTAAAACTCACAAAAATGACCAGTTTTCTTAAAAAAAAGAAAAAATTATGAAATGATACGAAGTCTATCTGATGTTAATTCCTATCAAAACTGAACTAGAAATAGTATCAATATCCAAGTGCAAAGAATATCACTAAAATAAAAAGTATTCTCTTAAAAAAAGGGAAGTTTTATTTTAAACATATCAATAGCTTTCTAAAATCTGCATCAGATACTACACTGAATCTGAAATTGATACCTCACCCTCCGCTTCATTTACTACAATACATCACATCAATGATTCCACATATACCCTACCTACTGACACCTGCACAAGTGGGCAATAATGAGCATTTAGTATCATCTCAATTTTTACTATATCTAAATATCAAATAACTGTTATCTTTACTCTCATTTTTCCATAAAACAGGATACCATGAACCATGAAACCCAAATACGATGAACAATAATATACTACCACACAACTTCAACATATTAACAGAAGTTAAAAGAAAATAATGACTCGTTTAGTTCCATTTAAAGCCTTTATAATCACCATACGAATTTAAGATCATTCCCTGTTTCTATTCCCTTAATATAATAAGAGATCTTTTAGAGGTGTGCTAGTTTCCTGTAGACATTTGCCTATGTTGTAGTCAAAAATATTTAAAATTGGTGTAGACTTAGTAACAGAAGAATAAATAATGCTCTTTCAAAACTGTGTTTAGGGACCCAGTGAGCTGCCCCGCTCCCTCTGAGTGAGCAGTGTGGGCGCTCCGCTCCACGCCTTCACCTGGAGCGTGATGACACCTTGAAGGCCCAGGTCTCCCCAGGGACTTGACTTACTTGATCAAAACTCTCCTACTCTTATGCCACTGATTTCTCAATATTAACTGCAGGGGTTTTACAGTTAGCTCTGCTAAAACAGCTCATTAATGCTCAAATATTGGATCTGGAGTATGTCATTTTATACTCTGGTTTCTCTTTAAACTGAATAAGTCTTTCCCCTTTAAAGCACCAGCCTTCCCTCCCGGTGTTCTATAGATCCCCTGGCTTTCAGGGCTGGCTCTGCTACTTACTAGTTATGTGACCTGAGTGATGTGTCTCTATCTCACCATGCCTATTTCTTCATCTGTGAAATAGAAACAGTAATAGTGGCTACTTCACAGAGTTGTTATAAGGAATAAATGAGTTATATATGCTACTTAGAACAATACCAGACATCCAGTAACTACTACATAAGTGGGGAAGGTAGTATTAGGATTATTATGATTGTGGTGTTTTCCTCCAAGTTACTTTTAAAACGAAAAATACACTCAACGTGGATCAAGGCTGAACTACAGAGAAGTGTCCTCCGTTGGCTGGAAATTCATACCTAAAGGCCCAGCATGAGGCTAGGAGCACTAGAAGGTAAACAGCAACACGGGAGTCACTGAGGTGGTAAGACCTGTGACAAACTATTCCTCAGTAAGACACATATAGAGTCTAAATTCTGTCCGGAGGCCCTGACCCTAGTATGAGGTCTCTTTACCCGAGGCAACCCATAAGCTGAAATGAGTCACCTGCAGATGTGCTAACTACAGCCCCCAGTAAGTTCATCAGTGTACCCAAGGATATGAGATGCTGATGTAAAGACACAAAATATCTACAGCAGTAGTTCCCAACAAAGAACTTATGTGAGGTACTGGCAAATACTGTATTCATTCTAACATTTAAACATAATCAATAAGCTGAGCAATTATTTAACTATTTTTCTTCTTTAAAACAGAACAGTTTGAGAGCTGCTAAGTGAGCACTGAAGGAGCATGCACAATGGTTAGTGGAGACTGACTTGGTTGGTTTGAAAACTTAGGAAAGATTTTTCATCATGGTTTGAACCATTTTACAGTTTTAAATTATTTTTATTCTCTAATATATATTTAACTTATACACACAATGAATTCTGATTTAAAATGAAGACACATGAGAAACAATGAATCAGAAAACAAATCAATGACAAACTAAAATGCAGAGGGGAGAAGAAACATTCATTAAGTCCTTGAATACCAGCTTGTCTGGCATTCAAGTGTCAGGCACTATTCAAGCACAGTATTAACTCATTTAATTCTCTTAATAATCTTACGAAGTAAGTGTTATTGCTATTCTCATTTACAGATAAAGAAACTGAGGCACAGAAAGGTTAAATAGCTTGCTCAAGATCACAAGGCTAGTAAAGCCAGGATTCAAATACAGTTTTACACTAGAGACAGCGTTCAATATGATCAGTACCAAATCTGTAAATTACATTCACATGATCAAAATTACCATATAGCAACTCAAAATAGTGCTACTTTTTTAAAAAGAAGCTTAAAAAAGATAATAGAGTAGATTACAAATGAGTTAGCTTTTATTTCATAGGGAACATAGACTCATTTACTATTTCAGTATGTCATTTACCCATTTCAATATGAAAAAATTAGAATTGAGAATATCTCCCATTTAGTGGAATTTGTTCTGAGCTTTGAGGGTATTTTCTCAATTAAAAATATAGTCTACAGAGAAGAATCAACTAAAGGTCTCACAACTTCAAATTTCAACCATTAACTTTTAAATGATAAAATGCAACTTTGAAGGAGATTACAGGCAATTTAATTTTTTAAAAAATGGGGGGAGTAGAATCCTACAATAAAATAAAACCATATTGAAAAAAATCCATTCTTTAGAAAACACCAGTGCCACAGTACTGGAGTGAGATATAGCTAAGAAATTGGTTGAATAACAGGAATAGTGCCAAAAAGAATTATGGTCTGTTGTTTCTGTAATATTTAGATAATAAATAAAAGGTTTTTTAAAAATCTGTTTTAATATTAATGGATGTTACGTTTCAGAAGATTTCTACTTTTGAAAATTGTTTTGAAGAGTAATGGCTTACCAATAAAATAAAAATCTATTAATGAAAGTATTGCCAGTCAATAAACTAAAATTTAAAAAATTATAAATAATCACAGGATCCTACACCCTTTTATCCTGAAAAGAATCCTGACTTGCATGACAAATCATATAGTAACCTTAAATACATCTGATGCCAAACTAGACAATTTCTAATAAATTCAAAAATGTCATCCTAATATTGAATTTTATTACTTTATCATTTAAAACACCTGTTGTTCAATTTGATGAATAAGTTTAAGACTAAACTTATGAACTGATATATACGTAATAATTTAAGGTTTCTGCAGGACAATTTACTAGTGATTAAATGAGAATTTAATAATGCTCCCATTAACTGAACTAAACTGGAAATAAATCATAAAATTATCTACACTGACAGCAATTATTCTTTATTAACATTATTAAGAGCTTCTTAGCTTTTTTCTGGTTCTAATTTAAATGTAATAATAATTATTATTTTATATTTAAAATGGAATTCAGATGTAAAGATTATGAGTGAGTACAAAGAAGGGTATAAAATTGTGGAGGGGGCAGAATACTAAAACTTCTCAAAGACTATGGAAATAAATCCCTTTGGAGTGAAGTAGATTATAATTCAATCTTTCAAAAATGTGGGCAACTAAAAGCTAGAGTTTTATATCATCATTTGCCCATGAATAAGCTCAATTATTCAACTCCTTGATTTGAAAGTAAGAATCTCCTATATGTATTCCTATAAAAATCATTTTATTATATGTGCTAATTTGAGAATTATTCCACAATGAAAGACAAAGCATAGTTTGCTAGTGGGGCGGTTAGGAATGGAGTGTAGTGAAAGGCTAAAAACAAAAAAACAAAAAAACCCCACCAGTAATACAACCTTAATTTTTTCCTCCATAATTTTCCCCCATAAAATTGCACACATTGTAACATGCATATACTCCCATTCCTATTATCCAAAACACATGTGAAGCAATAATAAAGCGACAAAGCTCTAGACTACACACAAACACACATACACAGTCTGGCAAGGAAATAGCTATTTGTGCTGCTAAAGCCGCTATCAATCAACACCCCCCCAACACGTTTTCAGAGCTTTTGGGGCCAGATGAATAGGCACTACTGACCTATGACATCGTTAGTAATTTGAAATGCATTACTAAGCTGCTGAGTGGAAAAGGCGATCAATTCCGGAAGACTTTCATAGCCAAACAATCCAGAACTAGGGCCAAAAACACAGTTTGCCAAAAGCACACACCATAAAATGTAGCTGAGTTTGTTACATATGGTAATTCAAACAATCTTTTTCGTTTTCAAAATGCTGCATAAATTAGTGAAAGAAATTATTTTTGGTATGAATATTTATATTTTCCCAGTTAATAAAGGTACAGAAATTTTAGTCTCCCATTCATATTTCCTCCAAAGAAGTATTTTCAACAATGTGTTTTAACATGGCTATTAATATCGTAAAGCTCTAAGCCTTAAACTATTAACTTCTTTGTCTCTGAATTCCACCTCAAATAGCCTTCTCTCATCCCTCAGGCCAGAATGCTTCTCATTTTCCATTAGGGAACCCAAAATACCGAGTACTTTCGTCATGGTTGAAATAGTTCTATGTTGTTTGATCATCACTGGCTACTACTGGACCTTAACACTAAAATATTTTAAACATCCGAATTTGAAACGTATTATGTAGAGATAATACAACGCTATAAACAAAAAGGTAAAAATAAAAAAGGAACTTGATTTTAAGGAACTTTACATTTAAGAAATCTCCATCCTGTTGAAGACAATCAAAAACTTACCACTATTTTGGCCAAGATGCCATCATCACTTGCATCTAAGGTAACCACAGCTTTGTCGGTCTCTATTTCACATAAGGCATCTCCAGCACTCACTGCTTCACCTATAAAACAAGACTGGGTTTGTTTTGTTTTTTTAAGTTAAGAACATTAGTTACGTGAGTTGGCATGTGTAAAGTGTGTAAAAGATGAATAATAAATACCAAACTATTCAGTAGCTATTTCTGGGCTGTGGAATTACAAGTAATTCTCCTATTGTGTGTGTGTTGTTATGTGTGTATATATGTATGCTTTGTTGTATTTTCCAAAAGCTCTATAATGGAAATAAATGGTTACAACAAAAAGTGATTACAAAGATTACTGAGCAAATATCAAAAATGAAATCATATTTTATAAACAATAGCAAGGAATGTATATCTTCTTCTGAACAAATCAATTCCAGAGCCCACATTCCTTCCTTTTTAATATATTTTGACCATTATTCCTTAAGAAAATAGTTTTACAATTAATAGTACTTTTGGGTTAACACTGGAGGTGAGTTCAGAAACCCTGTCGGTACCACAGAGCATAAATGAATAAAAGCATATTAAGCATAAAGAGAGAAAAAAATCAAAGACACAGCTAAGGTCAAATAAGAAACATATCTGTGCAACAGAAACAGTACGGATACTCAAATATGCTGAGTAGGATCTGACTTGCTTGTTTCTGGGTCTAAAAGTAGGTTGTGGGGAGCAAGGATGAATCAGTGGTTTCCTCTGGAGTAAAGGGAACTAAAAGTGGCATGCTGAAGCAGGGGACTCAAATCAGATTCTCTGCTTAAAGCCAGGGCTGCACCAGGGTTTCTCTACCCATAATAGTAGGCTGATAAAACAGGCAATGAAAACCTTTGACTAAAACTATGGCTTTGAATCAGAACAGCGGGTCTGAGAAGGTAGGGAACGAAACACTACCTCAGTACCAGGAACAGAGCCAAGCCATCCTCTAGTTTCATTACTACATCTGCCAATATTCCCCATACCAATAGCAAAATCCCTAGATTGGCAGGGTAGGGGAAAGCATGACTCAGGAGACAGGTGGGAAGACATCGAAACTAAAACATAAACATTCTACTCAAAAGTAAATTGCAAAACAAAGTTCCAAAACATGAAGAAATTTAATGATAAGAAAGGAAACAACAAAAATCAGTAACTGGCACAGAAATTCATTTCAGATGCAATCTATTTAGTGCAATCCACCAAAGATTTTAAAATAAGTATCTCAAAGGATGTTCAGAAATAGAAATGAAGGTGTAAGATCCATCACAAGAACAAGAGATTAAAAAAATAATGTACAGAAATAAAACACTATCAAGTAGAAAAGGAAAAAACTAATTAGAAACCTTGGAAATGAAAAATACAGTGAATGAAATAAAAAGAAACAATCAATGGGATATACCTACACTGGCCATAGTGAAAAAATGATTTAGTAAGTAAAGGTAGCATCAGTGAACTAACTGGAACTTAACATAGGCAGACAAAAAGATAAAAAATAGCAAGAGCAGTGAAGGAACATAGATTGAGGCTCAGTGTTTGTCCAATGAAGTTCCAAGGGAAGAGAGAGGAGAGAAAGGTGAAGAAACAATACATACATAAAGAGGTAACTGCTGAGAATTTCCCAGAACTGAAAAGAGATATATATCTTCAAAATGAAAGACTACTGAATGTGTTTAGAACGTGGCTATCCATAGTGTACTGACTAGGAGGGTGCACATGGAGTCTTCTAACTTGCTAGAATATTCTGTGTCCTGACTAGGTGATTTAACCTGGATATATGTGTATGTGAAATTAACTAAGCTTACACTCTGTGCAGGTACTACCTCAATTAAAAAAATTAAACAGAAAAAAAGAGTAATAAGACTGTATAAATATGACTCCACATTATAGACACAGCGTACAGAAATTGCAAACTATCAACAACAGAAACACAATCTTAAAAGCTAGCAGAGGGAAAAAAAATAGATTACCTCAATGGAATGGCAGACTGAGAGCACACTTCTCAGCAGCTGCAATAGAGGTCAGAAGACAACGGAGTAATATCTTCAAAAAGCTGAGGAAAAATAACTGTCTAGAATTTTATATGCAGCCAAACCATCATTCAAGAATGAAGGAAAAGTATTCTTTAGACATACAAAGGCTAAGAAAATGTACCACTTATTGATGAGCTATTACAAAATGCAGTTCATCAAAAAGAAAAGTAGACACAGAGGGGACCCATGGGTTACAAAAACAAGTTACCACAGAAATTGATAAAGGTGTTAACTATTAATCATTTAAAAGGCAATTTTGAGGGGTTAAAAAAGTTTACAATTCAAATGCAAAAAAAAAATTAGATGGATAAGGGAATTTTTGGGTGATAAAACATGCTAAGAACTTTGATATAGATAGGAGGAAAAAAATACTGGATAATTCTAGACTATTGGCAAAATATAATTAAATATGTATCCTAAAAACTTAATGGTGTACATCAAAAAATATAAAAATGGAAATATAACCTAGAGCATTCATAAAAGCAGAGAAAACATAGAAAATAACAAAAACTATTATCCAATTGAGGGAAAACACATTGAAAGAAAAAAGCAAAGGATAAAAACAGAAAGTAACAAAAATGATGAAGTAAGTCCAAACATATCAGTAATTGCAATAAATATAAATGGATTAAAATCATCTACTAAAAGCAAGAAATTATCAAAATGAATTTTTAAAAAAATCTGGGTAAATGTTGCTTACAAGAGACAGACCTAAAACAAAAACAGAATAAAAAATAAGAGAAAAATGAGACACACAAACACACCAAAAACAGCTCGTATAGCAATAACAGGTGCGTTCAATAAAAGAACATGAAGGAAAATCTAAAACACTAAGAAAACAAATATGCTCTGACAGTTAACTGTACTGAAACTACTTCACCGTATACCAAGATTTTCACATAGATGGTTATACTCTATCTGTTTAAACAGTTCACAACCACGAATGTAAACTATTTTAATGAAATAAACTTATCTTTAGATATTTATCAAATACATAGAAGGTGCTTGGTCTAACCCCAAAGGGATTTTCCTTCTCAACCAGTATTTATTGAAAATGTATTAGGGCACTGAGGATTCAGCAGCAGGAGAAAAAAAACAGCTAAGATTTCTGACCTCAAGAGGTTTCTTTACTATCTAGTGACAAATCAATTAGAAATTTGGGATTAGGTGAGGTCAGGATGCTATGGGAACACTCAGGAGGGGTATCTAATATCTAATCTAGTTTTTGGAAAGTGAGAGAAGGCTTTCTTAAAAAAAAAAAATGACATCTAATCTGAGCCTGAAAAGATGAAGAGGAGACAATCAAGGAAAGGGGATAACTGATCCAGGCAGGAGGCACAACATACCCAAAGCCCTGGAGGCAAGAGAACAGGAAACTTCGGAGGATCCTGCTAATACTATCTGAGAGAAGTGATGAGGGATTAGGCTGGTAAAGTAAGCCAGATTCAGACCCAAAAAGGAAACTGATCTGTCATACAGAGAAAGCTACAGTGCCAGATTATATAATCTTACATATTTCTTTGTATGACAGATGTTTTAGACGTAATTAAGATAGATTGTATTTCAAAAGGAAAGGAATCACACCCTAATATGTTTCTGCTGTAACCATGGAAAACAACAACTGAACAAGTCAACCTTGCAATTAAATACTTTTTCTAGACAGCTAGAAAAGAAATTCTGGCCATAGGAAAACAATAAAATGATTTTTTTTACCACTTGGTGCTTGCCTATTTCAAATTCCAAACACCTTTTAAGAACCATTTGCAAATTCTGCCTCAGCCACAGATGAACCTAGATGATTTTGTTCCTATTTCTGAATTCCTAAAGTAGCTGCAATTAATTCAAAATGAGTCACAAATTACACTATGAAATGTTAGGTTACCACTATTACTTGCTTAAAAAAAATGGTTTCCCTCTATTTATTGGACTATGAGCTTCTTCCCAGTAGGAATAAGACATGCCTTAAATGTTTTACATTCTATCTCATTCCCCAGGACCCCAGCTAGTACCTTATACACGAGTTTGAGATTAAAACACTTCAGAAAGAAATTGCAATTTCACAACTCCTCATCTCCTCACAAGGTATACATCAAACTGCCTATTATGTTTCTTTCAATTCTAACATTTCATTTATAGCATCTTTCTAACATTTAAAACTCAGGTATCCTGTTCCTTTTTTATTTTAACTATATGTATACATATTCACATGACATAGACATATACATTAGCTGTACGAGAATGCTGAGAGATAAGAGGTGAAGAAACAAAGAGAAAAACATCTATTGTGTGGTGAACTTTCCCCAGGAATCACAGCAAGGTTAGAACATCGAATTATTATGTAAGGCACATTACCCCTAATATCACAAAACCAAGGGTCTATCAATAATCAAACATAATATGAAGGCCAAAGAAAAACTTTGAGATAAATAATAAGCCATGGAGATTCCAAACATACTGTTTCAGTCTTGGTCAACAATTTAGTGCTAGAATTTGTAAAAGCTACAAGGCAGAGTAGTTTTAAGAAGCTATGCCAACTCAGAAACAAGTTTATTCCAAGCTCTGACACTTAGTAGTTGTCTTGACCAACTTACTTAATCTCTCTGACTCTAAGGAAAGTTTTAAATGTCCACCTAATATAAAAAATCATGGAACTGGCACTGTTAACTCTTCACACACCTCTTCAAATAACACTTCATAACACCTTTAGATTGAAAATGAGACACGTTATTAATAACCATCAAGAACCAAGGCTCATTCTAGCTCCCCACGCCATACTCTGTCATTTCAAACAGATCACTGAACAAACATTAGTATACAAGGCATTTATAAGTAAGCACTGGGTATAAACACAACAATAAGACACGGTTCTGTCCACGAGTTCGGAGTCAGGGGGAGGGGGAAGACTGAGAAACTAGGGTAGAGCACCATGGCTGGCGTGAGGTGACAGATGGTCCCACTGCCACGTTGATTGCTGACTGGTTGGAGAAGGAGATAGCAGCCTTGTCGTGTTCCTGCGCGTGCCTGTGCCATCTCCTCGTG